GGAGCTTGACACGCTAACCACTCGGCTACACTGCCACGAGCGCCTTTTGGGTCACAGGGAAAATGTGAATATTCAAGGAAGGCCAAGTAGAATTTAATGGTATCAAGAAGTGTATCACTTTAAATAAAAACTACACTGTCATTTTTTAAATCACCTTAACCTGTCTAACGCAACTAAAATCTTTTTTTAGATCAAATCTGAAGAAAGACGGGCAAAACTTGTCACAATAATGGGTTAGCTCTCAAATACGGGTCGAATTTTGGCCTGAAAACAAGCACTGTTCCTAGCGATTTATACAAAAATACAGAAACTGGTGTACTGAAGTCCAGCTAAAATGGCCCTCCTTAAAGCTTGGTATGTGAGAGGAGTAAAAATGTTGTAATTCTCGAGTATTCGTTGAATCATAATAAAGATTTTGCATCATTCTGGTTGTCAAAGTGGCATAGTTAAGCATCGTCTTAATCCTCGCATACGGTTAAAGCTTAATACCATTGTTTTGGTTGACAACCACGAATGGGTAAGGCAAAAACTTCATCCCCCTCGACAGCCTAAACTTTTTGATGGTTCGATGCCTGATTATGCCCAGGATGGGAGAGAAGTGATACAAACGTCAACTGTTGACCGCGAAAGGGTACGTACCCGATCCAACTTCTCCTCCAACCCTCGCACTGTTGCCTCAGACCTTTTCGCCACCTCCCTGGCGTCGGCTCGTTCATGACCCAGCAGCTCGCATTCCATCTGAGCCCGTTTCAGAGACTCGCGGATCGAGATCAATTCTTCGCGTGTGGACGATACTCTTGACTCAGAAAGGTCCAGCGCTTTCTGAACTCGTTCTAGCTCCCGTATCTGCATTAAAAAAAACAATACAAAATACAGAGACAGCTACCATGACGTGTGTAAACTTGCATAGTGTAGAAAAAGCTTGTTTATTTAGGTTTAAAAGCATCGTCATTTGTATGAGAAAATGGCCAGTGAGAAATGAAATAAGATAGTTCAGCTGAAAAATACTAAAAATACAGAAAAAGATGGGAGCCGAAAGAAGAATATGTTGATAAGAAACTAGATAGAGTGACGATTAATAAAGAAATCAAAAGAAGCAATAGTGGATTGAACCAAACAAAACAAAGTGTTCATTTCCGAAATTCATCCTGGTAAAGGTCTCCTGAAACAAAATGCATACGTCAATGCATCTCTGCTGTGCTCGTTTTAAGTAAGGACGACGAAGGAAAGGATTTATAGTAAAGTTCTTTAAAAAATACGTTTTAAGACCTTGTTTGGGCGGCAGATCCTATATTGCAGGTGATCATTGTTGATGCGGTTGTCCTCGGCGGACCTTTCGCTAGCTTCACAAAATCTCTGCCGCGAGTTCGTCTGTTGAGTGTAAAATACTTCTTTAGAAGAAAGAGTCATTTTAAAATTTAATTCAACCTGACGCTAAGCTACGAGGGACAATGAATTTAGTATTGGTTTGATCTAAATAAGCTCTAATTGCTTCCTGCATCCCTAGAATTGTAGAAAAAGGTAAATAGTTAGACTCTTTCAGTAGAGCAGTTTAAGATTCCTCAAAATCTTCTTACCAAGACTATCTTGCGTCAAGATCAGGTCGGTTGTTGAAGCCATTCAAACTATTTTAGTTCTAATAAATTACGCCAAAAAAGTAGGAATAAAAATGATTTATTTATCTAAAGATGGCTTGTCGCTGCCGCTCTGAGAGACTGTGATCTAGAGACCTTGGTTCACCTAGTCAGGTTAACGCAGACATTTCTTCTGCTTGGTCTGTGGATTGGGTGGCGTCGGTGAGCATCGTTGTGGAACCAAGCATCCGGAGAGCATTAAATTCGCGATGTCATTATGAAGACATCATCTGCAGCAGGCGTCTTTATGGAAATGCTTCCAAAGTGGTAAAGACGTGATGCATAATTTTTGGAACTTGGTCGCTCGCAGGCATCGTGTGTCTGATGCGTGTCAGTGTACACCCCTTTTTATCGGTTTTGCAGAGACGCATAATAATTATAATAAGGGTGAATTATAGAAAAGTCTTAATTTGCCTATTTACCTATTTATGCATCCCAAAAGACAACTCTAATCCAGGCTTGGCTGCGATTTCGTGCCTGCCCCATCGTTTCAGTGGCAAACCTCATCAGGATTCGAGCGGTTGAGTTGCACGACATGCATGCGTTTCTGGGACAGTAAAGCATTTCCCAGAAAACTCATTATATTACTGAAGTGTCGGTCGTACTCAGTCGAAAGCTCCGTACGCTATCACCCGAAGCGAGGGAGGATGTCTGGTGGACTGCGTCAACCTGAACGTCGTATCAAAGCCAAATGGCTGCAGTAAAACGAGATTCACCCTTCATCTTCTGATGAGATCAATCTACGATTCTCTTCTTCATGCACTTTCATACGAAATGAAGGTTTCTCCAACAAAAAATACTTCCCAATATGTGGTGGTGGCGCCTCGGTTGGCTCGAGCTGTATGATTTAGGAGGGGAAGCGTTTGGTTTTTGATGCAAACATTCACAGTTGGTGCCTCGCTGGGTAGTAGGTGAGACAATGAAGTCAACAATTATTTTGCTCCGGAAGAGAACGGACTTTCAAGAGGCCTGGTGAAGTGGATTTCAGTCAAAAATATGCTTCCCCTTCATTGCTTCGTGAGTAGAATATACGTCAATTGCAATAGCACTTATGAAACTGGTGCACACTTACACAACACGGAGAAAAGTAGGAGATCCCAAATATGCATCATTTCAACCAGTTTACGACCCATTCGAGTAATAACGGACGAATCTTGGCATTCATCATTGCAATGTTGATCGAGTTTCAATTGCT